TGCATTCATTCATCTGTTTGCATGCACCGGACTCGGCGCATCACACTAACTCATTTGTATTTCAATTCCGATTGAATACTTGTTAGCTGTGGCATTTCACATGCCATCTTTAGAATAGCGAGCCTATTGTAGTTACATTTTTTGCATGTGTTGCATCAGGCATTTCTGTATAGTTAGGATCATGCATGGATCTCTAACATAGCTTCTGTTTTGGCTTGGAGTACTCGGTAAGTACTTATGCTTTAGCATCCTTGCATGCGTGTGAGTGACTGCCATGATAGCATGCTTACCATGAGGCTATTTGCTTATGTGATATACCTGCCTGAATGCCTTGGGTGAAGGTTGGGTTATTTGGATTGGAACAATTCATCAATTGTGAGTTTTAACCCACTAGATAGTGGCAAATCATCTTTGTTTCTAACCCACCTGAGGGTGGCAAATCCACATTTTAGCCTACTTGCGAGTAGCAAACCGTTTTCAAAACAAACATGAGATGTTTCGTTCCAATTCAGGATCCAGTCTATACTTGTATGTTGTGGCATCACATAGTAAATCTAGGCTAATAACCGGAAAAGAACGCATAATTTTTCAAAACTAGATATCATGTAGTAGAGCCGATCTTTGATCGGGCGAGCGGGGTGCCACGAAGTGACCTTCCCAATCGTACCCAAGTTCCCGAGCCGAGGCAACTTTGGTGATGACGGACACGTGGCCTTAGGCAACGAGTCAGGGTTTCTAAATTTCCCCAAAAATAAAATATTTAGGTGGCGACTCTATATCTGGCAAAGCAGTCCATGTTTGGCACTTCTTTCAAAAATCTGTTTTCAAAAATGATTTGCCAGATTTGGACTCTTTGATGATTCATCGGTTTTGCATTGCACTCTCGAGATTAGATACAGGACCGTGACTTTGAGTCCTGAACTGTAGTGAGCCCAATGAACAAAACGGGATTTATCCTTCGGGAGTTCGGGGACGTCTACAACAGTGTGCTTGTCCTAAATAAGAAATGAATTAGCATAAAAAATAAATAAGCACACAATTATGATCCCAGATAATTATTGAACGGAAAGAGATTAGAAGAAATAGAAGACACATGCAAAAGATAATTAAGAAGAAAAGTAGGTAGGATAGGCAAAATGCATGTACCAATGTGGTGAATAGGTAAAAGTGGTGATTGTGACCCACTAGTAGAGCTGCTCTAAATGCAGCTCTACTGAGCTGGCTACAATTTAAAAACAAAACAAATAAAAAAAAAGAAAAACAAAATAAAGAGGAAAAACAAATTAATGCTCCTCTTTTAGTGGTCTAAACCATTTTTCATAGGCAAAGAAGATCTATTCCCAACGTAACTTGATCCTGGTTGTGATATGGTTGAGAAATGTGAAGGATTGGACAAGTCATTGTGATGTGATTTGTTGCAGCTGAGTTTATGTACCAATAGACAGTCGAAGCTGACGAGACTGCTCATTCTAAGGAATAGTAGCAGCATAGGCTCTAGTATTCAATTGATTTCCTTGAGACTGAGACGTAGAGGTCAGAGGCTCAAAAGACTAATCCATTCTATGCCAACAATCAAAAGCAATGTGGCCCCATCTTACCTCAAATTTGACAGCAAAAAGAACCATAACTAGAGGAATGATAATGTAGCTTTCCTATGTTGCTTTGATTGTAGAATCGATTGCCATCACGATTACAATTGCCATTATAAAAACGACCTCTACCCCTAAAATTTCCTCTACCTTGAAGATGTGAAGAAATGCCGCTATATGCATTGAAAGATAGAATAGACTGAGCGCCGAAACTAGATAAAGAGGTAGGGTTTGAACCGTACGAAACAGAGTACACAACAATGAGATTATGATTATCATAGTGTTTGATTTTACATTCAATGTGAATTGCTTCTGAACATCAAGGAACGTAGCTCATCCATGGAAAGAGAGTCAGATCGTGCATGGATTGTTGTTTTAAGAGCATCATATTCATCTGATAGACCATTAAGAATGATTAACATCATACTTCATCATGAATATTTGCAGATGCCAAAGACAATTGATCTAAGATTTCTTTAAATTGAGCAAGATATTCTTCCATGGAGAGAGATTTCTTGGTGATTGCTTTGCAACTTAGTCTTCAATTGATGAATATGTGATCTTCAGTGAGCTTCAATTACCTCCCATTTGGTAAATTCTGGATTCAGAATTCTTGTTGTCCAATTGAATCCATGATTTCTTAAGCAGGACAAACAGTCAAACCAATTGCATAACTAAGGAGGTTTGTAGCACGAAGAACATTCTGAATCTACTCCTCCATATGAGAAAATTATTTGAATCAAGCTTGACAGTAACTAAGGAACTAAGATTTGATATATGAAACTGTAACTGATGAAGTTGTTTCAGCC